ATCAAGTAAAGAGGAATTTTGGGGGGCCTCATATAAATTATATAATATAGTTAGTGTATATACATAATAAGACTTTTAAAAAATATTTTTATTATAAAGTTTAGAAAAATGAGAACAATATGAAACTGGTGGAAAATTTGACCTTGTTTTTGTAAAACTAATGTATCAATGTCTGGTTTGATAGAAGTGGTTGCAATTCTTAATGAGTTCTTAAGGTGCTCGTAAAAAATGTTTGTTCAAATTTTGCTCTTTATGTGCTTCATAACTGAGAACAGCTGCTCATAAATGTATGTGCTGCCAAAAAGCAATGTTATGAATAAGGCGTGATTGTGAATTAAAAAAATGGCACTACGCATGGGGTCATGAAGAAAATAAATGCTACAAAACACATGATGTTAAAAGATTTTGTGGGACCGCATTACTAGCTGGCCTGTGGACAGCAGGTTAAACATGCCTGCTCATAAACCATTAGGAAGGAATGCTAAAGAAGAAATAGCTGGTAGAAAATAAGATGTAGGCTGGGCTCGGTTGCTCAGTCTGTAATCCCAGCACTTTGGGAGACTGAGGCAAGTGAATTGCCTGAGCCTGCGCTTTGAGAGCAGCCCTGTTAACTTGACGAGACCTCATCTCTACAAGAAATCAAAAAATTAGCTGGGCATGGTATCGCGCCTATAGTTCTGGCTATTTGGAAGGCTGAGGCAGATGGATAGCTGGAGCTCAGCAGTTATTGCTGGGGTGGCTGGGAGTGTGCCACTGCAATCCAGGCTGAGCGACGTGGTGAGACTCCAATTAAAAAAAATAAAAAATAAAATAAAGTGTAGACATACTCCTAATAGACTTTAGCTACAAAAAAAAAAAAAATAGGGGACTAGCTAACTAAGTAATTGGGACATTAGCATCCATTAAAATATTTATTTGTAAAAAAGTTAATGGCATAGCAAAATATCAATGATATATCAACACAAATCATGGAAAAATTGGATGGAAATGCTATGGAAGGAAATATAACAAAATACTAAAAGAAGTGACTCACTGTCATTCTGCTTCTTTATCCATTTGGGTGCTTGTCACATGTATTTTGCAATATAATAGATATGCTACATTATCAGAGATAAATTTAAAAACTTATTTCTGTTAAATAAAGTTAAGTAAGGTAGGGAGAATAATTTTTTCATTTTATAGTTGAGTAGACAATGTGATTTCTTAACTACTCAAGGGTCAAAAATTTAAAAGATTATAGTCAAAGATAATAGTGTGAAGTTGAGTGGTCAAAATAAATATGTATTTCCCACCTTTGTTTAGGACAGAGATGCCAATAAATATTTCTTCAAGTATCAGAATGATGACAAATAGAAACTGATCCTCAGCCTAATATTCAGGGACACAATTGTAAGTCATAGGCACTGGGAGAGACTTTTATGCCACTTCTGTAAGCGCAGTTTATACTCAACTATACCTCATGGTGACCAATAGAAATGTTAAACATTGTAGCAAGATCATCTGACTTCTCAGTAGTTGGAACTTTAGATTTTTATTTAAGACATTTCATTTTTAAAACGTTGGTAATTTTTGAAAATGTGAAACATGATGTAGGCCAAATAAAACACTTACACAGATTATATTTGGCACACAAGCTCCTACTTTATGACCTCTGATTTAACAACTTAATTACCCTACTCTTGCAGACATAATTAAAATATTTTTGCAAAGTCATATAATTTGACTGCTAAAATGTCAAGAAAAATTTACTGATCAAAGAAAACCACCCGGGTGCAGAAACTCACATCTGTAGTCCCAGCACTTTGGGAGGCTGAGGCAGAAGGATGGCTTGAAGCCAGTAGTTCGGGACCAGCACAGACAACAAAGCCAGACCCAAGTTTCTACAAAAAGTTAAAAAAAAAAATTAACTGGGAGTAATGGTCCATTGCTGTAGTCCCAGCTACTTGGGAGACTGAGGTGGGAGGATCACTTGAGCCCAGTATTTTGGAGGCCACAGTTAGCTATGATCATGCCACTGGACCCCAGCCTGGGTGATAAAATGATATCCCATTTCTTAAAAAATAAATAAATAAAAATAGAAGGAAACTATATATTCAGGATTATGTTTATTATTATTCCATACTTATAACATCAAAAATATCAAGGATTTACAAACTTCATTTATCATGAAAACAAAAATAACAAATCCATAGGTTGATAATTCAATAACAAGAATAACCATGATATGTTTTATTTTAAATGTGATATAACTGAGTTTAGGTCATAAGTTCAAGTTGACTTTCAGTGTATGCAAACGCATGATTATCTTTCTAAATTATGACTAGCCAATTATAATGACTACAAAGTTCTGTCATAACTGACATTTTAAATGAAGCATTCCACTAAGAAAACTAAAATTTCAACCTCATTTTAATAACTTTAGCTTTTCAGAATTCTGTTAATCAAGTAGGAAAAAAAATTGTCTTCAACACCTAGAATGATTTATATGTTTGTACGAATGGGAGAAATATGATCACATCTTCAAGCAATAGATTACAAGTAAAAAGTTCACATTACAGCTGTGCTGATGAAAATTACCTGCAGGTTGTTATAACAGAGCCTGTGAATTAATTAACCTTTTGCCATAAAAATCTAGAAACTTCAGTACAGACTGAGTTTTCTCTTGCTCCAGATTCCTCAGATTTTAGAAAATAAATGTGCAGACACCTAGACCAACAAAGTACACTCAGATTTTTTCAGTTTTCATGTTACTACAATAAAACCACATAAATTGTGATTAAAATCTAGCAAGTTAGATGATTTGTTTTTTGTTTTAATTAATGAAGGATGAGTAATTATTGATTCTTATTAAGATTTTTTAATTAACGAGATCAATAATTTCTTACTATGAATGTTGGCTATGTCTTAATTAGCTACCTTTTGACTGTGAGAAAATAAAGTTAAAAAAAGTGTGTTTTTTAAAATAAATACAAATACACATTCTTAAAACTTCACTTTCAAATGAATAAATTCATTATCTTCAAGTATATTGGTCAAGAATTTCGATAGTTTTACTTGGGATTTAAAGTTTAAAAATGAGCTAACACTAAATAAAACCAGAATTTGGGATAATAAAATTGCTAATAAATACTTGTAATAAGAGCCACTGTATTTCTTCAATTGTTAAAGAAAAGGATCGATGAGACTTGGTGAATTTGAAAACTATACAACATTTAAGGGCCATCAAATTACACCTTAAATATTGACATGATAATTTACATGACTTAATACAAATGTTAGGAGCTACATTTTGTTTTTCTCTTTAATGTAGTAGACCTTCTTAAAATGTTAACAGTTTCAATATTTAACTATTAAATAACAAATAATTATAGCAATTATCTTCCATTAGCAAATGTTTGGGGTTTAGTATTAATTAATTCATTATATAATTAAGTATTTGGCAATAGACAGGTCTTTCCATTAGTAGGTTACCAGACATCCTTGTTTAGATAATACATTAAGTACTTCTTTACTGTTGTTGAAAAGTTCTTGGAGACTTTGACTTTAAGCAAAACAACATAAAACAAAACCAATTTTTTTTTCATTAATGTTATAGTGAAATAATATTTCACTAAATTACATTATTTGAGGACCTGTTGTATGTTATTTCACTTAAATTTGTAGTTTTCAAGAACCTTTCAACAACATTAAAAGAGGGCTTACTATAGAATTTTAAAGTATATTTCTATCATACCAACAGAATGATAATTTGCTACATTATTTTTTAAAGAACTAAACCAGTAAATACTTTCCAAAGTATTTTCTAGAAAATAAATTTTTGGTTGCAGGTAAGAGGTCCACAATAATGTGTTAAAGTAGGACAGTGATACTTTCATGCTAATAAAGTAGATAATGCTTATCTAGATAGCTAAAGATGCATATGATATTTCTTTTTTTGTGTTGAGTAAATCCATAATTTACTCATAAATATTTCAAATTAAGTAATATTTGAAGCTGTTTGGAACAAACAATAAATCCTTTATTGTCGTTAATATTTTAAAATTTTCCAAATACTTCTATTTAATCTGTAAAAAAGATAACTCTTTAAAGGTGGTAAATATAGAATATTTACCAAAACATTTTTTGGTTATTCCAATTTTGAGAACCTTTCTATTATAAAATATATACTTTTAGGTAAGATGAACATTTACTTGAAGTGTCAAATCTAGCACATTTCTGTCACAGAAAATTTGCAATAAATGTATTTTGAATATATGGGGGGCGCCCCCCAAAACGGGAATTATCTTTTGGGAAGTGGGTCCCCCTTAGTACATGAGAATTTCTTCTCTAGATCCAATGGTCAACCAAAGTTTTTCTTTGAAGTGTTAAGAAGTTTGGGTCACCATTTGTGGAAGAAGTATCGTGAGTTGTGCCACAGAGGTGACTGGTTTTCCCATCATTACAAAGCACTTTCCCACATTTTGATCAAAAATGGCATGACCCCCATGTTCCACCCTCCCTATTAATGTTCTCACCCAGAGCAATTTTTTTGCTATTGTTTCTCAGGTTGAATAAGTCATCTAAGTTAAATGTTTTCCATTGTGGAAGAGGTGAAACAAAAAAGAGCAGAAGGACTAAAAGACTTCAAACTTGATGAGTTCAAAAACTGTTTTGAGCAATGGAAAAAACATCCTGATAGGTGTACTGTATCAAACGAAGAGGACTTTGAAGGTGATAAAAGCTTTAAAATGTTAAAATAAACACACAATTTGTCATTAAAAAGTCTGGTATTTTTATTCTCCACTCATAAGAATACATTGTTTCAAAAGATATTTGACTTGGCATCTGCCAATACTTAAGTTTATCTGTGCTAATTTACACTAAATTTAATATTGTCATTGATTCTTATGTGATCATGTAGAGGTCATAATGTACATGTGCATATAAGTAATATGACTTTAATATTTCTTAATTATCATGGGAATATACATACTATCCTTTGGGAGATATGATCTACATACCTGACAGGTAATGTTCTATCTCCTTTCCTCCTATCCATTTCTCTTTGGGGAACAGGATACCAGCGGAAATTCAGCTTCCAGTTAAAACCCCCATAAGTCATGTCTGATCCAGCCATATATTCAAAGGTATCATCACTAATCACATCGATGATAGGACATACAACTGTTTTCCTGAAGGAAAATTAAAACCAATTTATGTATAAATTATATTTTCAATGTTACACTATTTTCCCCAATCCAATTATAGCTGGTAATGATAAAATGTAATTATTTTGTGACTTTAATGTGACTTTAGTTTCATTTTATCCATTTTCTCCATGGAATTATTTCCCTTGACTATATCTTCCTTACAGTCTACTTTACGTTATCATGTGAAATCTAATCAAATACACTAATTGACCTTCAAGCTGATTTCCAAATGTGTTCTAAGTACTAATTCAGCACGATGAGCATGGTCTATTTTTCATGAACCCTCCACCCACTGCATGATTAGCAGAGGTGCTTTGAGATTATGCATCATTTTAGATATAACCCAGTGAATAGCAATAGATGATGACAAATTAGATCTGGTAGTTTGCATACCAAATAGAGTAGGTTAGTTTAAAGAGATAGTTCTGAGAAAATCTTCATAGAGAAAATACCTACTAGGAAAAACAAACAAAAATCAACAAGCAACAGCAACAATGCAACTCAAAATCTATCAGTATAAGTAAATATTTCCTATGAAAGATTATAACGTCATGACCATTTCTGAGAGAATTGTCCTGAATTAAGAGTTTACAATCAGAATCTAGATGATATTTAGATTCTGATAAAGTTGCTTATCTTTCCTTAAAAAGGACAGATAAGCAACTTTAGTCTCTAGTGTTTTATACCACACCTTTTTTTAAGTAAGAGGAAGAGCTGTGAAGTTTGGTGTCCTAGATGCTAGCATGTGAAAACATTATACTCGGAGACAGTATAATCCCTATGGTGCCTTTTCCCATTCTTCCCCTACTCCTAGCTTATGTATTTTATTATGGGACCAAGTTGTTGTCATCTCCAGAAGTAAATGTTCAAGTTTACTTAAGACTGCATCAGTTGTAGCTAATTCTAAAAACCAGAGCTTGTATATTTGGTAGAAGGTAAATATTCAAACAGGCTTCTGAATCATCCATAGATTTGGAAGGAAAAGAAATGTCGTCCATTATTTATTCTTGTTTTGTAACACCAGTATCACCAATGCTCATTTTCAATTGAGACTTATATTCCACACAATTGGCCAAAGCCTAAAGTTCTCTGAAATCAATAAGTTTCATCTAGCCTTGGAAAATCTTCTTGGTAACTCTGTACCTAACAAAATCAATATTTTTTCTCTTTTCCTTTGTTAGATTTAATGATTTAACTTGTGAAGAGAAGTTAGGTCTAATAACCTTGAGTAGACTTTGTTATCTAGTTGTGCCAACTTTAACATTTATAATCAGGACAAGAAATTAGGGTTCATCACATGCAAACACAGTGTAATTATGTTGTTAGATCAAAAGATGAATGGTCTATGCAAGACCATATTGAAACATTACATTAAAAACTCGTGCCGGGCTCAGTGGCTCAGCCTGTAATACCACGCTTTGGGAGACTAAGGTGAGTGGATTGCCTGAGCCCGTGGGTTCGAGGCCTGCCTGGGCAACTTGGCGAGACCTCATCTCTACAATAAATCAAAAATTAGCCGGGCATGGTAGTGCATGCCTGTAGTTCCAGCTACTTGGAAGACTGAGGCGGAAGGATCGCTGGAGCCCAGCAGGTCGAGGCTGCGGTGGCCGGGAGTGGCCACTGCACTCCAGTCTGGGGGACTGAGTGAGACTCCAACTCAAAAAAAACCCCCCCAAAAACCTCACTATGTTGAATATGAAACACATGTGTAACAAAATAGTATAATGTACAAAAAGTTGCCAGGAAATGCATTTTAAAAGTTCTAAGTTCATTTTACGTTGCCTCCCTTAGTCTCCTGTGGGTACTGTACAATACACAGAGTAGAAAATGTTATTAGCTAAGAACTACACTCAGTTGACTAAAAGGTTCCTACTGCTTCCTTCAAATGCTGTGGTTCATTTTACTGACAGCCTCCATCCATCTTCCCAGCAAGTACCAAATCCTGCAGTTTAAGCAATGCGGTTGGACTAGCTCAGACTAAGCAGCTCCTGTCTTGTATGTCTAATTAAAAACTTGACTTTTCTACTGAAGATGAAATATGCAAGCGAGGTGTTATGTAATGTTTTGTTATTAAATCAGATAGCACTCAATGTTAGTTATCATTGTTAGGTGCTTAGAAATTATACTCATTTATCACCAATGTTTATTAATATTTGTAATAAAAGCTTGCATTTCATTCACAGCATCATCATCAGAAAGTATTGCTGATACGTATGGTGAGTCTTAATTTCTATAAGGTGTTATTCAATTTTTTAGATTTCACTGTGTTTATACAAAGTGGCGATATTGTTTAAATAAATGAACTTGTAGCTGGGTTCTCATGTTTCTTTGTTTTTTTTTTTTTAATTTTTAATTTTAAAGACGTGGGATACAATTCAGGGGTTAGGTATACAAATGTTGATTATGCAGGTACTCTTGTTGATGAGGTATGCCCTTCCCTCCCCTAGCAGTTTCCCTCAACTACCAATCCCTGATTTTTTTCAGTGGTGTGTGTGTGTGTGTGTGTGTGTGTGTGTGTGTGTGTGTGTGTGTGTTTATTTTTAAGATCTTCAAGGTAAATTTCAATTAGACTGACTAAGGGCACTGATGTAGTACAAAGAACACTGGCAGGGGAATGGGAAGAACTGAATTGTTACCAGCACTTTCTCAGCAAGGTATGTAACTGCTTTGTTCCTCCCTACTATTAGGTGTGCAGGTAAGAACACATGTGTCACTTATCTTACAGAGTAAGGACACAAAAAAGTAGTATAACCCATTATACTATTTCAGATTGGATTTATTTTCTTCACTAAAAAATAGTCAGCATATTGTTATTATTTAAATTGCTTGACTATTTCTTACAAACACACATGCCTGAGAAGAATAAGTCAGTGTTACTTATTAAATAAGGGAGAAAACATGTTTGTCCATTTTTTTAAAGCTATAAAATAAACTTTCTAAAAATGAAAACTTGGGAGAAAAATTCTGATGGACAACTGGAACTGTCCTAACAAGTTCAGTCATAACCCTTGCAGACATAATATGTAAATTCTTACCTGTCTTCCTTTATTCTCGCCAGCAAGGGCTCCAGCCATCCTAATGTGCATTCACAGTGTGCATCGAGAAAAGTTATGACCTGCCCTTTAGAAGCAGCTGCTCCTCGAAGACGGGCACGTATTAACCCAGAGCGTTCTTCCATCCTAATAATTTTTACTGGTACTTCTAAATTTTTCACATAATTCTCTAATGTCAACTTGAGAAAATCTGTAACATGCAATAAGAATTTTTAAGAATAATTTCAAACTGTTTTAAGACACAGCAGAGATATACTGCTGAGATGGAAATTCAGTATACAGAAATGGTGGCCAATTTTCATCAAATTATTTGTATTAGATGAAATAAATGTTAATTAATGTCATATATTCACAGTCATATAAATACTCAATAATATAATTAATTGAGTTTGGAGAAAGCAAAAACAGTTTTGAAAGTCACCTTGGCTGATTTCCTAAATTAGCAAAAGCCAAACAAAATCATGAGAAAAGTGAAGAATTATTGTTCCTGGAGTTGGCATTGATGCAGTATATTGATACAAATTTGATAGGTGGTTTCAGGACTGATAAAATTATAATGCAAATATAGATTATTGCCCAGCTATCTTTTGGACCATAAGACAACTTTTTAAAAGTAAAAAATGCAAGAAAAATTGTTTGTACCTCTTTCACTGGCATCATCTACCAAGATGACTTCAGAGAGTAGATAGTGTGGGGAACGATTTATCACACTGTAAACAGTTCTAAGAAGAGTGCTCCAAGCTTCATTATGAAACACAATGACTACACTTGTGTTTGGAAGTTCATCAGGGTAGACTTTTGTCTTGCAGCTGGAAAAGAGGAAAGAAGTGCGTTGATAAGTTTATTTTTCATCCTGATAATTATAATAAGAAATATCCAATATAATACAACTTCTGACTTGAAAGTCCCTCACTAAGGAAATGTTTTATGGATATCGAAAGTCATTTTCCTTTTTTATAAGTGCTAAGAGTAATCACTTGGCATTTTGAAAATTAAATATCCATAATTACTAATATTTTATTTTAACTCCAGCAGGGAACAAAGCAGCATGATTTCCACAAATCTAAGAAAAATCAAGAAATCTAAAAATAGCATTCCGAGACTGTCAATAAAAAGAGCAGGTACAACAAGAACAGATGAATTCATTTAGTGAATATAATTTTATTCTTTGTTGTTTAAAAATATTGTATTATTCAAAAAGTCATAAGAACATAAATAAACAGGTTTCCATAGGTTTTTGAAGCATGTAAAACTGAGATTAATTTTCTGTTCTAAAATCTAGTCACGTATGCTTTTCATTTCATTTGAGATTACTCTAAACCATGTCTACCTCTAAGGACATGTTTAGTTTTCCTTTAGATTCAGAATCTACTAGATGCATCCTAGCCTCTAACATCTTGTTTCCTAGAAATCAAGAAAGGAAATGGGCTATCATCACTTCTCAAACATGAATGTGCAGAGGCATCACCCAGGGATTTGTTAAATTCAGATTCTAATTCACTTGGTCTGGGTTGGAGCCTGGGATTCTGCATTTCTGAAAGGTTGTCAGATGATTCAGTGACTGCTGGTTACAGGAGCACACTGCTTCGTAAGGGGCTACATAATAATGGTCATTACTTTTAGAACTTAATGTATTAATGTAAGTTTTTAACTTCATTTATAAATCCAAAGAAGTCCAGATTTTTTTCAAGTCATGAATCCAAAAAGGTACGCTTGGGTCAATAATATGTGTAGTGATCTAACTGATCTTCCCAAATTTAACAGGAAGACATTTGTTGCTGTCATCAAACAACTTGTCAACATTCAGACATTTCTGTCATGCAATTTTAAATTATTGTGATTGTAGACTATAGATTAATTTTAAAAAATCACAGAGTGTCAAGAGCAGTAATAGACGTTTATTCACCTTAGAGTATTTTTTAAATGTAAAATAGTCTAAAGAGCCAGAGAATTAAAATAATTTCACAAACTAAAGTTAACCAGGTATTTTCTGTCACTTATGAACATTCTAATATATGACAAAATTTAGCATTGTTAAAACCAGTTTTCTTCACAAGTGAGTAAAAAAAAAACACCATAAAATGTGAAAGATGAAGACACATCTATAATAAATACAGATTGTGTGCCTGCTGAGATCATAATAATCTTTTAAAACAGTTTAAAATATCACTTACTCTGAAGTCTTCAAAGTAGTCAAGTAAAATTTTACATATAACTCAATTACATGTATTTCAGTGTACATTTATTTGGGAAAAAAAATTAAGCATTCATAATACAAAATATATAGTATATATAAGAAACCAGAGTGTAGGGGGTGAGTTATGTAGTTGGATTCATAGTCATTTCTTCACATTCTGGTGGCAAGATTCAAATGATTTCTATGTGCTTCATCAACATTTGTCTTGTACCACCAAGAAGCTCATCACTAAATGAACTTAGAATGCCCTCTTGGTAAACGAGAAAGGTTCTCTCCACCATCTTTCTCAAATCTCCCTTCTTCTGCCTCATCAAAAAGCCTTACCACTTTCAGCATGCAAAGAAAAAATATGGTAAAGATAATTGTTATTAGCAAAGAAGTAAAGCGGAAAAACAAGACTGAAAGCAGTCCGACAGCCAACAACCACTGGTTTAACCAAAGAATTACAGTCAATAAAGGTGGCTCAACATCATTCAGAAAAAAAAGATTTATTTTAAAATAAAAAATTTGTATATGTTACACTAAATGACAATTAAGTAAACAATTTAAGATATCAATCTAAAAGCAGATATTTAGATCCAGCATCTTAAACCATTTCTAGCGAGCTTTATTTTTGTGATTAAAAATATCCACTCACAAATAATAATTTTATATTCATTATATGCATCAAAGTAATAATGAATTAATTTACTATTAATGCAGTTATTATGTTTTCTTGAGAAAAAATTCCATTATGTCATTATACAATGTAGCATAAAAATAAAATGTGACTAGTATTTTTATTAATTTTTATTCTTTTTCCTATTAAAAAAAAATCTTCCTTAGGAATCTGAACGTATAGCAAAAGAAAAGTGTTATCTAAAGTTATTTAATATAAAACTAGATTTTTTTTTTTGAGTTGGAGTCTTACTCTGTCACCCAGACTGGAGTGCAGTGGCCGCTCCCGGCCACCGCAGCCTCGACCTGCTGGGCTCCGGTGATCCTTCCACCTCAGCCTTCCAAGTAGCCGGAATGACAGGCATGCGCTACCATGCCCGGCTGATTTTTGATTAATTGTAGAGATGAGGTCTTGCTGCCCAGGCGGGTCTCGAACCCGCGGGCTCAGGCAATCCACTCACCTCAGCCTCCCAAAGTCGCGGGATTACAGGCTGAGCCACCGACCCCAGCAAAACTAGATTTTTAATATATAAAACCTTTTGGGTTAAGTCAACATTTTAAGATAAGAAACATATGTTTATATTGGATGGAAGTAAGAAGACAAAGGGTACAAAGATTCCATTTCATGAATAAATTCTGGAAATCTAATATACAGCATGGTAACTATAAGTACAATACTGTATTGTAATATTGTACTTGCAGTGTACTAAGAGAATTGATCATGTGTCTTATCACACACACATACACACAAAATCATAACAATGTGCATTGATGAATATGTTAATTAACTTGACTGTAGTAACCATTTCACAATATTTATATATATCAAAACATCAAATTGTATGCTTTAATATATACAATCTTTATATGTCAGGTATATATCAATATTTAGCTGGGGAAATGTCATTCGGCAGAGAACACTTTCTGTATCAATAAAGTAATTTATAAAATAATTCTTAATCTATACAAATTAACCATTTTCTATGTCAGCTTATCAAGTTGTCTTAAACACATAGATTTGTATAAAGAGTTATGATTTTTATGATTTCTGATAGGTTTGTAATACATACACTGAACTGGTGTTATTGTGCATATTTCACCAAATCTATTGTTTTGCCTATAGTGAGATACACTATGATTTCAGTTACCATGAGGAAAGGAAAAAAAAAATAAAGCTTTTAGAAAAAGCTTTTAAATTTATTTGTACATAGATTTCTATCAATGTTGTCATTCTTGATTCATGGATGTCACACCAGTTTCTTGTTGCTTTGAAGTTTCTTTCACCTATTTAAGCTTTATCTAGGTTTTAGTATTGCTTAGCATATGAGGGGCAAACATTTAGCATATATCTCAATAACAAAATATAAAACAGGTTCACCTTCTTGTGAATATGCTTCTTGGTGCTATAAATTTATGCTTTTCTAACTTTAAAATGCCAGTGAATTATGTGGGGATTTTATTAAAATGCAGATTTTGATTCAGTAGCCCAAGATTCTGCATTTATAATAAGATCCCTAGTGGTGCTAACACTCCTTGGTTGACATGATAAAAACTTTGGCCATATAAATAAGTTGTTAACTAACAAGAAAATATGGAATTATAGTTATTGCTCCAACAACAAATATTCACTTTACCATATGAAATTTAACTCTTTTGTTTGTTTTTTAAGCATCTCCAATATGGATTACTATAAAATTTAATTCTTTCTGCTATTTCCTTTCCTGATTTTTTTAGATAATATTTCTTGTTGTAATACCAAATCATAATGTAATGCTTCTGAAGAAATGCTGAATGTCAATTAAATGCAACATACGCAGTAAAAAGAGTATACATAACCTAGTTGAAGCAATGACTAGCAAGAACAGTTATGACCATATTTAGATGAATTAAGAAATATTGCCTCCATAACAGTAGATGATGATTCTAACTAGCCATAGACCGTAAAACACTTCTTGATTTCAGACACAGAAAATGAAAAAGATGTACATTTTTTAACAGGTGAATACAATAACTTTTTTGTTTAGCTAAGAATAAGCACTTGAAGTATTGTATACTTAAAAAATAGCTTTACTGTCTAAGCTGGCAGAGTTTTTAATCCACAGATTTTTCTGGAAAAAATTCAAACCAAAACAAAAAATTGTATGATGGAAATGGAAGTATTTAAAATAAGTAGGTGGAACTTGGCTAATAATCTGTTTTCTCTGATATATGACAAATGACTTATTCTTTGTGATATGAAAATAACAATTTGAGTTTTTATCTGTTTTTATATATTTTATATAATAAGATTAAAGTAAGTAACCTCAAAGGTCTTATCTAAAATGTGTCATAGACATTGTTTGGTTTACCCTGCAGAGTAAAGTTCAGTCACCAAATGGTAGAATCAAAAGGACTTTCAAGATTGACTAATTCAAATCTTTATTTCACAGAATCAAAGTCTCAAGTCACATGACTATTTTAATGCTCTGAGTAATAAAGTAATAATAACATAATACAAATAGCAATGTATTATTTGGTAATAATAATAGTAATGAAGTCTGTCTGTTATTATTTTATTTGCTGTATCAAAAGTTTTAAATTACATTCACTGGAAAAAACTTAATTTGGAATAACTAGAAAAAATAAAATATATAAAGTATGTCTTAATCTTACATTCAAATATATATCATTATATATTTTTATAGGGACTTGGTCATTTCTCTAAGATCATTTCATTAAAACTAACATAGAAAATAGCTGTTATTGAAATTATCTATATCTAGACCAAATACTCTTTTAGCAGCATGTCTGAGGAAGACAGTATTTGTTTTCTTTAAATAAGCATCTACATAGTATTGGCAAAAATTAGCATTATGGCAGAGTACAATGTATACATAATTAACTTTGAGAGTACAAGTGGCAGATGGCAACAGCAATTTTCATCAATTTGAAAGGAATATTTGATGTCTAAATCAA